AACTTGCAAATAAAACATGGGCCATTGCACATTTTTAAGAAAGTTGAAGGATATTCTTTTTTTTCTCTCAACACGTGTCCATCAATTATGCCTTCTTATCTCCACAAATCTCCTTCAACTTCAATCCCAGCCGTCCATGTGTAATTTTCGTGCCCTTTTTCGTATCTGACTCAAAAAGATTTATCACCTGGTTTATGGTTTTTGTTGTAAAGGGCGACGATCAAAGACAAGAGAACAGATATGGGTCAAGCTGGAGTTCTGACGGATGGCTTGGCAGTGAGTTTCTTGATTATGTTTCGGTTATAAGTGGCAGTATTATAAATGTTGCATCCGATTTAGTCAATGTGGTTGCTGTTGGGTTAACTGATTTTAAGGTGATGTTACAGAGATAATTTTTTTGTTTTTTTTTTTATATAATTTTTATATGTTATTAAACGAGTGAATGTATTTAATATTACGTGTTTTATATGAATCAAAAAAATAAATTATTTTAATGACATGTCAAGTTGTACAAAAAAAAAAGATAAAAAGATTATACAAAAAGTATTTTCCCTTATTTTGGTGATCCAAATCCGAATGTCTAGGTACTTGAGCATTTTCATGGCGAAAATAATGGCGTTGACCATCTAATCGAAGAGGTTAGTGTAGGTCAAGTTTGAAATAGGATCAGTGTAGGTGATATTTCCGGACTAAAGCAGGGTGTAATCAAGGTTGGTGTTCTGGGGATCCATCAACCAGGGGAATTATGTGTACACATCGACAAGATAGAACGATTTGATTCGATTCAAGAACTTCAACAAAGGTTTTATCACCGAAACCACAATATCAAACCGAAACGTACCGTTCGACAGCGGAAAGGATGACTCTAATACATCCATTGCCATCAACGTCTCTACTTTGATCTTGTACAACTCATAGTCTTTGGAGGCAAAATAGTAAAACAAGGAAGAATTCTTGCCTACTAGATACACGTGAGAGGGAGTAGGCGAGAAGTCTAAGGCAAAGCAAATTCAGCGCAAGGAGAAACAAAGATAGATGATGTGGAACAAGTGGATCCCATAATACGAAGTTGGATAAAAAAAAAATAATTTAAAAAGGTTGTTAACACGCGACCATCTGCATTTTAACAGTGAAAAAGATGCCGTTACTCTTAAAATGAACAGAGGGACGAAATTGATCTTTTTTGAATAGTAGAGAGACGACATAAGAACTTAAATTAAAGTAGAGGGAGGATATGAGGCAAATCCATAGTAAAAGGTTTAAATTGAATTTTTTTTAATAATAGAGGGACGATAGTTGGCTTTAACCCTTAAAATAATAAGTAAAAGAAGATTTAATTTAACATGAAATTCAATTTTAAATGCACAATATTATAATATATTCAAACAATATATTTTTAAATACATGTAATTTAAATTTATTTTTTTATCTAATCCAAACAATGTATTTTAAAGTATATACATTTAAAAAACACGTTTTTTTAAATATGTATTTAAAATACATACCTTAAATATAAATACATATTCTCAAACACAACCTTAATGATTTATTGCTAAAATGGTGAATTCCTACGATCTGGTGCTAAATTTAGGAATCCTGGTTTTGATGTTTTGACTTGTGAAATTACAGCAAATGAAGCATTCCAGAAGGTGGTGACCTAAGGCTTGGTGAACAACTTGGTGATCTATTTGATGCGTGACTGCTGCTAAGGCCGACAATGTTATATTTTTTTGGAAAGCTGCTAAGGGCAACAATGCAATATCCTTCTGGAATTGTGCTACAAGCTTTGAACCTCTTTTGGGTGCTTTCTTCTCTGATTCATATCTAGGTCGTTTCCTCACCATCGGCATTGGTTCTTTGTCAAGTCTAATGGCAAAATACCATTATTACAACGCCAAAGGCAGCGAACGGAGCTCGTGGAATTTCAAATTTACTGTGGGCCTATCCATGGAGCAACATGAATGTGGCCAAGGGCTTTGTCTTGTTCAAGATTTCTGATCATGCATGCTATGGTTTCTTGCTTTGTGGTTTTCTAATGAATGAATGAATTGAAGGTGAGATGATGACGAAGTGGGGAGAGAATAGAAAGGAATTTATAGTCAGGAGTTCTTGTAATGGGAAACGTTTAGTCATGCCTTTACGAACAAGTGGTGAATTTGTGTCCGATTGACATGGGATCAACTCAAGAATATTTCCAAAATTAGTTAGAGTCAAGTGAGAGAGTATAGGTCGGCCAACTTTTCGCAGTAAATTCTTGATTCAACAGTCGTTATTGGTAATAGAAAATATAGAAAATAAAATAATTTTTAAGAAATACAGATGGTTTTGCATTTCCCTCCTTAAATTTTTACAATTTCTTTAAAAATCTGTTTTCTTCAGATTTTTTTTAGAGGATGGTATGGTATCAGTCCAAATTTTCAATTTTTTCTCTCTTAAATGACGTCGCACGCCTCACAACCATCCAATTCCAAGTACGGTATTTTACGTTAGTTTATAGACAGGAATGTTTCTATCATCATAACATTTATGTTTTAAATTTAATTAATAAGAGAGTGCTACATCATTTAGGACTTAAAAGATTAAAAAAAAAAAAAAACTGAAGTTATGAGCTATGTTATTTCAATATAATACTATTGAAAAATTTTAAAACAATATAATTTTTGTTTTAAAAATTGGAATGTTTTAGTATTTTTAATAAAAATTTATTATAAGACATAATTTTTAGGTTTTTCTTTTTACAAATATAACTAATAAATATTTTTTACTAACGATTTATTAATCTAAATAAAAAAAATTTAATTCTATTTAAGTAAAATTTTAAATTTAAAACTTATAAATATAAAAATAACTGTTAAGAAAACATTTCCTTTATGAGGTTTAATTTAATTGGACTCTACGTTAATTGAATTTAATATAAGTTTTGAATAACAAAAGATTAATACTACAGAAAAATAAACATTTTTCCGATTAAGTATATTGCCTAGAAACTATACTACCCTTTAGCCACCATTTTGTCACCCGACCAAATGCTCCTATAGATGCACCAGTCTGTCAAAAGATTATCTACAATGGGTATGGACGGTAACATTAAGGCTTTATTATGATTTTTTAAATAAAAAATAATTATTTTTAATAAATATAAATAAATCTCAATTATTCAAAATAAAAAAATTAATAATTAAAATTTTATATAAATATAATATGTAAAATTTATATGTAAAAAAATCTTAACTTATTCATTCATATATATATATACATTCATACAGAGCAAGAACTTATAACATGGAATGTAAACATGACAATAAAAATATATAAAAATGTCAACTAACCGGTGATTAGTCTCTTTATTCATTTTTAATAAATTTATTTATTTCATTAATAAAATAAAAATATAATAATTTATTATAAAATTTCATATTTAT